GGTTCAGTCCTTTGGTGTGTCAAGAGAATACTATGCTCTCTGACATTTGTACTGATGAGGCCTTTCTTACACTTCAAAAGGAGCTATGCCAGGATTGGGTTTTTGCATCTTCTCTCACTCTAACCTGACAGCTGTTAGGAGGTAGGTAAGGGAGACATTATAAAAACATGGACTTAATTAGTATGAGTACATTCCAAAATCAGATAAATACTTACAAACTTTGGTGTGTTCTTTACATTAGAGGTGCAAACAGTTTACATATAGTTATGTCGCAAAAATTACAAAGACATGAGCAGAATTTGTCAAAAAGTCTAAGCACTTCAGAAGAGTCATCAGTCTACAGCTGACTTGCTGGGACTCCACAATAAACTATTAATCATTTATTAAGTAGCCATTAATCATTAAGTCCTCATGAATTTTTTATGAGTGTACTCTTAACAAAATCTATACCCAGGCTGTGAGTTTGAAAATTTCATAATTGTTTTTGAGAAGCTCTACTGTAAGACTGGCTGGCAGCTCTCGTTACTCCTCCACAGAGAAACCATGAAGGCCCAGAATACTGTTCTGTCTCCAGAAATGCAGTCTGTGGGCTCAGAAACTCATTGCTGTGTGGCAATGAACAGGGTTTAGCAATTTTTAATTTGGGATTTAGCTGAAGGGAAACAAAAAATCCAATTAACGTTTTTGCTCATGTGAGTCTGCTTTTGCTGAATGCTGAAGGATCACTGGGATGGTGGTTAGAATACTTTTGACTAAATTACGTTTTGTCTAAATACTGTGCTCCACCAAAGCCAAATTATTTGTGAGATTTATCAGATTAAATGAGGTTTCACAGTGCTGTACTACATTCCCTAAGTAATTCCAAGGGTTAGCACAGACACTTTTTTAGGTCTCACCAGGGAGAGAGGATAGTAAAAAAGCCTCAATACGTTTCAGAGCTGCCTGAGAAATGCGCTTGGTGGTCAACTGAAATGGTAAGATGAAAGTGAGTCCAGAAAGTCTGGAAACAAATGCTTCAGGGTATGAACAGCATTCCTCATCAGCTGCAGGTCAGCCACAAGTCTGAATAAATTAGAGTGATGCCTCATGTGGCCACAATTCTGGTTCAGTCCTTTGGTGTGTCAAGAGAATACTATGCTCTCTGACATTTGTACTGATGAGGCCTTTCTTACACTTCAAAAGGAGCTATGCCAGGATTGGGTTTTTGCATCTTCTCTCACTCTAACCTGACAGCTGTTAGGAGGTAGGTAAGGGAGACATTATAAAAACATGGACTTAATTAGTATGAGTACATTCCAAAATCAGATAAATACTTACAAACTTTGGTGTGTTCTTTACATTAGAGGTGCAAACAGTTTACATATAGTTATGTCGCAAAAATTACAAAGACATGAGCAGAATTTGTCAAAAAGTCTAAGCACTTCAGAAGAGTCATCAGTCTACAGCTGACTTGCTGGGACTCCACAATAAACTATTAATCATTTATTAAGTAGCCATTAATCATTAAGTCCTCATGAATTTTTTATGAGTGTACTCTTAACAAAATCTATACCCAGGCTGTGAGTTTGAAAATTTCATAATTGTTTTTGAGAAGCTCTACTGTAAGACTGGCTGGCAGCTCTCGTTACTCCTCCACAGAGAAACCATGAAGGCCCAGAATACTGTTCTGTCTCCAGAAATGCAGTCTGTGGGCTCAGAAACTCATTGCTGTGTGGCAATGAACAGGGTTTAGCAATTTTTAATTTGGGATTTAGCTGAAGGGAAACAAAAAATCCAATTAACGTTTTTGCTCATGTGAGTCTGCTTTTGCTGAATGCTGAAGGATCACTGGGATGGTGGTTAGAATACTTTTGACTAAATTACGTTTTGTCTAAATACTGTGCTCCACCAAAGCCAAATTATTTGTGAGATTTATCAGATTAAATGAGGTTTCACAGTGCTGTACTACATTCCCTAAGTAATTCCAAGGGTTAGCACAGACACTTTTTTAGGTCTCACCAGGGAGAGAGGATAGTAAAAAAGCCTCAATACGTGGTGATTGGAAAGAATAAAAAAAAAAAAAAGGGTTCCACACACTTCTGTTTGGAAAAAATATCTGATCAGTTTCATATTGTTTCCAATGTACTATAAAAATGAATGTAAAGGCCTCAAAATCTGTTGTCAAATGGAGCTGTTACACTACAGGCAGTTGTAATCACTGGACTGAAAATAGTCTTGCCTGGGATGCTGACATCAAGATTAGTTTTGGAGAGTGTGGCAACACACCAAAAAAAAAAAAAAAAAGATTCAGCTTATTCCTTTATCTAGACAGTGGCTGCATATGCAATGAACACAAATGGGATCAGAGTTACCCGATGAGAATTAAAGTTTCACACTACCAGGCCACCCACAGCAGGTATTTTAGCAGATATCTCAAGTAGCCTTTAATTTTGGAAAGACTGGGTTGTTAAAGACTGAATAGGAGTAGGGAATTCCTCAGGGCAGGGACCAATAATTTCAAGAGATCTTAGCTCCAGTAATGGTACTAAGTTTTTAAATCTCAACATACCTTTATAAATTAGAAATTAGCAAGAGACAGAAAAAGGATCATATTCCTACACCTCCGTCATGAAACATCAGGCAGATGCTGAGTTCCCTTATAGCCTCTCTATTGAGTATGCTTGGGTCCTTTAAATTATGCATGCACTGCTGACAAGCTTGCTTTTTATGTATTTATTAAAGATTATTAAAAATAGTAAAAACTGTATTAATATGTTTATATCATTTATGAAAAATCATGACTAATCAATTTAAGCTGCATAATTCGAGCGATATAAAATTAAGCCTTCTGGTTATTCTACTGAATTTTTATAATTGCACACAAAAGGTCATTTATACCCATATTCACAGCATTACATTTCACAGAGGGTATTTCATCTTACTTTGTCGATCCTTTCTTCATACAGTTTTGGAGACTAATCCACAATTCTGCTTGCTTACATAGGTAAATGCAGGGCATTCTTCCACGGCCTAATTAGTAAGACAAGGAGAAGAGCCCCACCTCTTTACAGTGCCCACTTTGCCAGGCTGTATAGCAATTGTGTATATCACTTCAATTTCAAATAATAAAAGACAGAGACCTCCATGCTAATTAGTGCTCAAAATACATCTAAAACCAGCAGTGGCAGGAAACAGACTCAAATGTCATTACTAGACCAGATTTCCTATCTTGTTTCTATTAATTGCCATTGGGCTGGTTCCGTCTAGGCCACACAAGGTTAATCTAGAAATAACGATTTTGGATCACTGAATAATGCCTAATTTAGGATGGCACCAAAGCAGGTTACATCATCACACTAGAGGCTCCAGTTGTCAATACCTGTACAATTTTTAAGTCAAATCACCACTTCTGGTCAGTTGTCAGCAAATATGCAGTAAGATCTCTTGCTTCGAGGTTAACCAGATGGATTTTATGCAATACTCTTTCTTTGTTTTTTGTGAACCGTGAATCCTTCAAGCAATACAAGCACAACTATAGTAGTAAAACCATTCACTTTTCCTGGAAAGGTTAAATTACAATACTTGGACAGCATAGGCATTAAAATAAACCTGGGGACAGTTTCCCATTAGCAAAAAGGATTGATTGTGGCTATGACTTTGACTCGTAACATTTTTTGGAATCTGAATAGGTTACCTCATCAAGTGTTTCCATCTCCTAGTTGTTTAGATAAATAAGCTTTAAAACATTTTCATTCTTTCTAGGTACCTGACATTACTGAAAACATTTTATGTGCAGCTATATTTGCCTATTCCAACTGAGGCAGGACATGGAGCAGTTTAAATCTCCCCCATAAGCGGTGTTATTTTTCCCATCCTGTCTAAACATAGCAGGGAGAGGAAGAGGTGAAGAGCTGCCCAATTAACAATATGGCTACTTCCCCTGACAAACCTAAAGGTGCCCGATCATCCTACAAACCAAATTATAAACTCATAGGACCTAACCATTTTAGCAGTAGCAGAGGCTTCTGCATAGCTTTGCCTGTTTCAAGTGCTGCTATGCAGCACCCAGCCCCATATACCACCTGTTTCTTAATTGGTGCAACTGGATGCAGAGATAAGTAGTGTTTCAGTTGGGTTGGAAAGTGGTCATTATCCCTGAAAAGCTGCCCAAAATTATGCTTGGGTGGGAAGAGGAAATGTTAAATCCAAGAAAGCACAGTGCATCACAACATCGTCATGCTGGTCTTTTGCCACATCTATGCTTGAGAGGGAAGTGTACGAAACTGCTTCATAAAAACACTCAAAGCAAACAGCCAGAAAAAAAAACCCAAGGAATAACTACATCAGCTTCTATTTTTTCAAACTACAGAGATGCAATCAAATCAAGCAAGCCTCATACTGCCTGCAGTCATAAAGGCATTATAAACTGTATATAACCAGGAAAATACCTATTAATATAAAATTTCACTCCTTACTTGCAAATCAAGCAAAATCATGGAAGCCGTACGTAATAAATTAAACCAAGTTTAGAAACAAAATACAGCCCTGTGATGAACACATCACCCATTGTATTATACAGCTACCATGATTTTGCATGCAGTTGCAGTGCTACAAGTGGATCACACATTGGAAAATGAAATATATGAACTTACGTGGTATCACATTACATAAATTTATTTCCCTTATTAGCTCAACACCCTATCATCACAGTCTTTTCACTGGGTTATCAGAACTCTGTTCTCTGAAACTGTAAATTCAAAGCATGCATTTTGATTGAGATCATGTATTTAAACGTATTTTTGAAGTATTTAACATGTTTCAGAAAAGAGAAGGAGAAATGTTTATAGATTTGTTTTAAGAAGATGGACTAATCAAACACATACTCAAAGGTATACCGGTATGTGAGGCCAGCGCACTGAGGTAACATTACTTGTTGAAGAAATAGCAGATGTAAAGATAAACTTATTTTTTAAGTGCTGGTGTTAGTTCTTAATAAAGGATTTCAACATATTAATTATTACCTGATTCACATACTATGGAGCCTGGCTTCAGTTCTAACATCATGGTGATTATAGAGATGTCAGTGGAATATAGAATCTGCGTCCTGTGTGGAAGATTCATGGTCCATAGTTCTGGAGTGGGATGAAGAATAAACACCCATCCTCCTTTACTGCAGGTCACTTTGGAGCCATACTTCTTGCCGATGAGGTCTGTGGAATGCCTGATGACCCCATACTTAGTCTGAGTTACAGTGCCATGCTGGACTTTCACGGGAAACATGGATTCATGGCCCAAGAACACAATAGCTGTGTCACCGTCCTTTATAGTATCTCCATATTCAACAAAACTCATTGTGACAGTCTTGCAGTTGGCTGGTGGTTGTCACCTAGAAGAGAATAAGTATGTGAAAGAGAGTTTTGCAGGATCACAATGAAGCTGAAACTTCAGACATAAAACCAACTCTTTATTTTATCCAATACAGAACAAGAGCACACTGTGCAAATAAGACGTTAGCAAGAGAACTCCATGAAGTTCAGTCTCCCCCGCTGCACTCTTGATCCAATTAAAATCAATTGAAAGGTCCCACAGATTTGAATATAAGTAGTATTTTTCCTGTTTTATGATATGTGTTAAGGAAAAAATTAGGAAATACGTTGTAATTTACTCAGCTTGTTCCCCAATACTACTGAGAAACTAGCAAGGCAGTATCAGTTTCAGCTCTGTTCAATTCCAGTTCACAAGCTTTCAGAGTATGTTGTAGTAGCAACTTTTATTTCCATCTGCTGGCTTATCCCTTGGTGATTTACAGCGTAAGACAACTGTTACCTGCCTTGGATATCAATGACTAGTTATTAGGACCACTAACAAAAGTCTACTCAAAAGTTTTCCAAATGAAGGTTTAAAGATTGAGTAAAGGTAGTATCTGCACTGATTTATGTGTGAATTTGACTGACTGTAGGGAAAAAAGAATATTGTGGCCTTTAATTTGCCATTGGGGGTGCAAAGTAATTGCATGGGAAGTGATCTGTGCTGCAACTAAACGTAAACAACCATTTGGAAGCTAATGCAAACTTTATCCTTTTATCACTTCAGCCCCATGGTCTCAGAGCTGCTTAGAGAATTGCAATTAAATTTTGTTGTTTTTGAGAAGGCAAGCTAGAAATCAGAAGGCAGCTTACAATGAAACCTGGCATTGGCTTTCAGGTAAGGCAGCTAACTATCTAGGCTGCAGGTTGATCAATTCGTGGAAGGAATTGTTTAATGAAGTAATGCTGATCTCAAAGTTTGAAATTAAAACTATAACAGAAGGCTTTGTAAGTCAGATTTCCGGCACTTCTTCCATGATTAAAAGCAGGGTTGCTTTTAGTTTCAGAATAATCATTTGATTCCAGTGCTTTTGTCTTCAATGTGTGACAGCTTGGTCCTGCTTCATCGTTTTTATTAAAAACTTTTAGTTCTCAAATTTGTCCATTTTTGTTGACCAAAGCTCACTGTAGTTCAATTTGCTGCTGAACAGCTAGCTTTATAATTTCTCTGCCGCAGTCACTGAGACAGATAAATAGATGTGCTTGTGGTCAAAACTTCCAAAGCTTATGACATACTTATTGCGAAACGTATTCAGATACCAAAGCAGAACAGGCCTGTCTGGACATATGGAGAAATAGTAAAAAGGGCATCCCATGAATTCAGAAATGTTTACATACTGGACTTTGTGAAACAGTACAAATGCTTAACTGTGTTTTATAGCTTGCACCTTATGATTATATTCCTGTTCTTAATCTTTCATAAATGACACTTGTAGTTCCTCTAGATACTGTTAATGCAATGTAGTTTTCAGCTCTTAGAACATTTGAAAGGAGCTCAACTGTAATCCATTTCTTTCACTATTTAGACTGCAGTTAAACCCATGTGCAAAAGCAACATTCCTGCAGCATGTCTGCAGGGACAGAGAGAATTAGTCTCCCTTTGATTAATTACACAAACTGGCTTCCAGTTTCTTTGCCTTCCTTTGAGCCACTACACTTTGCACAGCTAATTGTCACAACAGTGTGTTCTGACATCCCAAGTTACAGATCTCCCAGGCTCACATCTCACCTGGCATGTTATATTCATGCACTTGGGGTAAATTTGGGGTCTGGGAGGACTTCTTCTTCCACCTTATGGGAAGGAGCACAGTGATCTACAAGCACTCACTTTCACTCATTTTCAATCATTTTCCATTCCCTACCAATGCAAGGCCTCCATGCTCTGTCTCCTTTACTCTCTGGGTAGCATGCAGATGTCTTGGTACAGCATTACTTTTGCCACACAGTGCTGTGGAGTGGGAGTGGGAAGAAGGTGAGGCAGTGCCTTGTGGCAAGGCGTTAGGGGGCTATTCCATGGGCTTGTCTCGACTTTACATTTCCCATGACTCCAGCGACCTAAACTCAACGGCCCAGGCGATCCCTCGCAGCCTCACCAATTAAAACCACTACAATGATTCTGTGTTCCCTTCAGCCAAAACCCAGACGCACCTCTCCTCATCCTGACCAGCTTCCACACAGACCTGGCAGGCTGCCTCTTCCCTGAGAAGCCTGGCTGCTTGACAGGGCAGCGGGGTAAACCTCCCGAGGAGGAGGAGGAGGAAGAAAAGGAGGCAGGCATAGCTGCCTCACCTCCCCGGCAGCACAGGCTCCCCCCCGGTAACACGAAGGCCGGTGGGTCCCGCTGCAGAGAGTTTGTCCCCGGTGGTGGGGCCTCCCGCCCTCCCCGGGCGCTGTTTGTCCCCGCGCCCCCTCAGCTGCAGCCCCGCTGCCCTGCCCGTGAGGAACGAACCCGGCAACCTAATGGCTGCTGCGGGCCGTGTCCAGGGCTGACCCCCCGGACAAAACCAGGCAGGGAAGGGGAGGGGAGAGAGCCCACCGGCGTGGCGAGAGGAGGGATCAGCCTGCAAACGAGCAGCGTTAACCCGTGGCGGGCGGGATTCAGGGCCCCCGCCGCTCCTCAGGGCCTCGCATCCCCCCAGGAGCCACCGGCTCTCCCCGTCCCCACAGCCGTTACCTTTGGGGGCTGAGCCCCGCCAGCAAGGCCCGGCCCGGCTCTCCTCACACGCGGTGCCCGCCCCAGCGCCTCCTTCCTCCCCGGTCGCAGGCTGCTGACGCTCCCGCCTCCCCGCCGCCTCCGCCCCCGCCAGCTCTTGCCTGGAGCCGGCGAGTCGCCGTCGTCCGTGCCCGGTGCGGGCAGCCCCGGCTCCCGCCGCCCGTCCCCTCAGCGCTCCTTGCTGTGTCCGTGAAGGGGGGGACCGGGACGGGCGACGGTCGCCGACTGCCCTCACCACCTCGCCCGTCCCCTCAGCCTGCCCGCCCCAGCTTCCCGTCCCCTCAGCGCTCCTCGCTGTGTCCCTGAGGAAGGGGGACGGTCACCGACCGCCCTCAGCACCCCTCGCCCAGCCCCGTGTGGCTCTGCTTCGGCGGGGGGCGGCGGTCCCTGGCGGCTGTGGGGCCGTGAGGGGGCAGAGGGGCAGCCGCCCTCTGGGTGAGAACTCGAGGGGTGCCTGTGGATGACGGGTCGCTATAAAGAGCCACGATGGGGATGGACGGACCCAGCAGGAACTAAGGTTCTTCACCCATGGAGCCCATGGAGCCCTGAGGGCTGCCACCAGCAAGGGTGAAGCCCCCTCCCCAGGGAATGGCTCTGCCTTTGCCATGGGCAGACCGTGGGCAGCCGGCTTCTAGAAAGTTCTACCTTCTCTGCCCCCCCCGGGCCGCCTGCTCTGGGGGAAAGGCCGCTGAGGGCCGGGCAAAGCTCTCCGTAAGGGTTTGGTAAGGTTGTAGGAGAAACCACAGTGTGGGCAGAGAAGCAGGGGAATTGTTATCTCAACCCCAAATAGCGTGGTACTGACTCCTGCTTCTCCTGCCTGGTGTTTAGGGCTGAGGTGATGCGGTGGGCCCCGCGCGTCCCGGTGCTTCGCAGGAGGATATCGCCTCATCTTCTGCTTCCAACAAGCCCAGGCCGCCTGGCACAGGAGGGGTACGGGCACAGCAGGGAGTGTGTGAGTCACCCTGGACACACAGGTAACGTTCCCTGGCTAAATCAGATAACCCTCTGCAGGGTGCTGCCTTCACCAGTAACCTGTAACGTACAGTAGTGGGGAAAAAGTCATCCTTCCCTCCACCATCAAGAACACAGTCATGGAGAGCCGTTTATACGACAGCTTGTAATTTTTTTTTAATGAACGTGATTCCATCAAGTATGAGGGAATTTTTGCCCGTTGCCTTCAGTGGGAACATTTTTGTTAGGCTGTTGACCTGCCCATATCATAATTGCAGTTAGTCTTTGTTATTTAGTTATGAAACTCTCCTCCATCTAATCTAAACATAATGTATGCAGTTTCAGAGGTTTCTTAAACTGCGAACTCCTACTCAGCTGTTTTTCTGACTGGCAATTACTGTGCCTTTATATTTGCACCTACCTTGGATTTTTTGTGTCATTTTCAGTGTCATTGGTTATATTTGTCATTGTTTATGTTCTTGTGTCCTTTCTTTCCCCATGATGAACTGCTGTTCATGTCGCTGTGGGCCTGACTGTATGTGAGATCAAGACACTCAGCAACTCCTCGTTTCCACAGGCACTCAGCTCGCTGGAAATGATCAGTAATTTTCAACTGACTGCCTGAGCAGTGTGAAAAAATACACGAAGGGTAATAACCAGGCAAATATATTTTAAGTGATAAATGTAAATGGGAAGAGAAGTTTTATTTGGGAAGTTAAGCAGATGCAGCTATAAGCTGCCGATACCTGAGTGTTAACGTTTCATTTCAAAGTTCTGTTCAGTTGTCAGTTAGGAATTAGAAACAATTCAATTGTATGTAGCAAATCACTTTCTCTTGCTATTTCCCAATTTGGAATATTCTAGATTTTCAAGATGTTTCTCCCCTAATTCTTCAGGTTCACCTTACGTTCACACGAGTAATTTCAGAAGACACATTCAGTTGCTAACACCCATCTCCTCTTGCAGTTGTACACCGCACAACATTTATAATTAAGCCTCTTAGGAAGTTAGCTGCACTGCCCATGATTAACTTCCCTTAATTCTTCATTGTTAAAGCTCAGGGCAGAGATCTCTGGAGTAATCACCCCACCTTTCCATCCTGAGCTGCAGAGTGGCAACCCAGGGTATAAATCAGTGTGCACTAAGATAGCGTCCCGGCACGGAAAGTACGTCTTGGTGCCTTTATCACAGTCTAACAGGCCATACAGGCTTATCCGAAGCAAGTATTCTCTCAGCAGATGAGCCAGATAAAAGGGCTGATCAGAGCCTGTTGACACACAGCACGGCATCTATAATTAAGTCACTGGGGAAGCTGGGATGGGATGCCGTAACAAAGGTCGGATCCAATTTACACACAGCTTTCAGCAAATCTTAAAATGCTGCCTGGGTAAAAACCCAGTGAGGTAACCACCACTTTCTGACTGACTGCGTGCTAGAAATTTGTCAAATGGTGGTGAGGGAAAGGGGGCGGAGGGTGCGCTGCTTATTCCATGTGTGAATTGGGGATATTTTGGTTGTTTTCCGCCAGTGGCTCTCCACCTCTTCTTTTCAGACAAAAGTTTTGAAAAGAAGAGGTGTCTGTGTGTGTTGGAAGTGCTGTAATGAATGGCACATTGAGAACACTACCAGCTCGTAATAACCATAATGACTGGTATTCCCTGTTCTGCAAGACTGGGAGGGAAAGTGTAGCCAATGGACAGAAATTGACCCTTGGATTTTGGCTCTCGAGGTGACCTTGACTCCACGTATCTGCAGAACAATTATAGTACAGAACAGCCCATGGCTTCTCTGTTTGTGTGGCAACAGACGATGGAATAAGACAGAAGGAGCCTTCAGTACCTACCCTGATAATGATTTTTTTTGTGAAGAAAACCACCACAAAATACGGTGTCATGTAAGAAAATGTTCTTAGTTTTATTTCTATTGTTCTAAATTAAAAGTAAAACCTGAGTGGTTTGCATTAAAAAAAAAAATATCCACAATCAGAACTGCGTTTTCAGCTGAGGTCATCCAGCAACGCTACATTTATTTTGAGGACTCTGGGTACGATTTTACACTTCCGTTCATTTAATTCTTGCTTAGCGATGGCATCATACGCAATTCGCACTCGTCTGAAGCATGAGCCTTGTGTGAAACTTGTGAAATGTAGGGGTGGGTTCTGTGAGGTTGGGAAGGCAGAGGAGACCTCGAGAGAGGATTTGTCCTTTGATCTGGGAGATGAGAGACCAGACTCGCGCAGATGCCGGGCCCTCAGCTTCCACTGGAGATCTGTGTGCTCAGCATCTCCCACTATCAGACCTGGAATAACTGGGAAACCTGGACGGCAGCCCAACGCCGCGTGCATTTTTATTTGAGGCGGTCTTTAACGCTTTTGATTTTGTAACGATTCCCTCTCTCTATTTTATTTGTTTCTAAATCCCGAGCTGTGCAGCAGAGCGCGTCTGCTTGCCGTTTTGGGGGGTGAGGGTCCCAGTGGTGGTGCTGAAGGAATTGCGGTGGGGAAGGAGCTTCTGGTGGTGTCTCCTGGAGTTCCCAGCTCGTGTCAAACAGCAGTGCTGCCACTCAGGTCCGCATTCCCACAGAGACGGACAGACGGACACCCTCTGTTTGGACAAGAGGATAAACACGGGTTCTGTTGCAGGAAACACACGTCAGAGGAAGATAAAGACACTATTATGTAAAGGTGAAAGGCAGACTTAAGATAATCATTCAGAGTCTTAGCGTATTTTATTTCTGCAAACAGTGGGATTCTCGGCTGCACCTGAGCTTTGGGACAAATCCTGCCTGTTCCTACGTGGGGACTGGTGGGACTTGGTGTTTCCATGAATTCCAGGTGAGCTTCAGGAGCAGTGAAGCCCAGCCGTCCCGCTACTGTCCTCAGTGGGAATTCTACCACTTACCAATGTATAAAATTTAACACTTTTTTTTTTTTGGGACACGAGGAGAGCGGGACACTCACTGTGTTTCACACACCACCCCTCCCACCTCCTTTCCAATTAAAACTGTTAAAATGAGCCCCCAGCTTCGTGGGTGCCGCAGGGCGAGTGGCAGGTCCTTCCCTCAGACCCATGGCTGTGGCGTTGCCTTTGGCCAAGCCAACCTGGGGACAGTTAGTCACTCACACGACTGGGGCCGTGCCACCCCTTGTGCTACAATGCCCGTATTTTGGGGCTGGCGGGTTATGACGCCTGTTATCCAACCCTCAACCAAGGTGTGAGGCCTGAAGGGCCGTGTGCCCCTGCTGCTGTGCAACGGCACCGCCACCCGTGGACAACCCTTGGCCGATGGAAGGCAGAGAAGGATTTTCCACACAGAAGTCCGCGTTTCGCGAAGTCGCCGTGTCCCCTCCGCCGCGGGGAGCGGAGCGGCCCCACAGCGGGCCCCGCACCGACACCCAGCCCCACAGCCGGCCCCGCACCGACCCCCGCCCCACGACGAGGCCAAGCAAAATGGCGGCGGGCCCGCTGCCGGCTAGCGACAGAGCGCTAGCCCCGCCCACCCGCGCGTGGCCCAATGGAATGAATGGGCTATAAATAGCGGCCAATGGGGCGGTGGCTCGCGCTCTATATAAAATAGGCGCGGCAGCAGCGACTGGGCTCCACTCCGGCTAAGGCAGCGGCGGAGTGCGGACCGTGTGTGGAGGTCCTTTCTTTGGCTGCGGAGTCCTCGGTAAGTCCCGGGGCAGCCGAGCCGTTCTTCAGCTCTAAAATAAGAATTTTTTTTTTTAATTTTTTATTTTATTTCATTTTCTTCACTGTGCGGGGTGGAGCCGGTCCGTCTGAGGAGGGGGAGCGGGGCGGCGGGGGGCGCGGCGCGGGTGAGGGGCGCCCGGCGCGCAGCCGGGCCGGGGGAGGCGGCGCGGAGCTGGGCGCAGGTGCTCACCGGGCTTGCCCCCAGCTGGAACGGCCCCCGCTCTAAAACCAGATTAACCCGGTATTTAGCAGGGTAGTTACATATGCTCGCCCCAGCCAGGTCCCCCGAGGGAGCCGTCTGTTGTATAATGGCTTGTTGGATGCTTCCCGCCCCTCCGCTCCCAACGCGGGGAAGCAGCCGGGGTTCCGCGGGCGGGGAGGGCGCCGAGCGGTATCAAACGCCCCTCGGAGCGGGGGCGCGGCGGG